GCAAAGATGGTATTTACAGCGAAGCCCCCTAGCGCAGGAGGTGATGGACTGTTCAAGAGACGCAGCAGACTGGTCATCTGCGGCAACTATGTCAACAGCGATGTTGAGGTGTACACAGCTTCGGCAAATGCTGAGTCGGTGAGAGTTTCGCTATCCTATGCGGCCAAGAAGCAGTGGCATGGAGCTATCACAGATGTCAGCTCAGCATTTACCCTGGCTCCAATGGAAGAGTCAAAAGTGCGATACGCGCTAACCGTGCCCAAGGTGGTGGTGGATGCGGGGTGCGCATCACCCGACATCGCCTACATGGTGGATCGAGTTCTCTATGGACTGAGGGAGGCACCAAGACTATGGGGGAGCTTCAGAGACCGAAGAATGTCAAGGGCAAAGTTGCAACTGGGCGACAAGAAGTGCGTCTTAATCCAGATGGAAACGGATCCAGCAGTTTGGCGTGTGGTGGAAGAAGGCAATGAAGCCGAGACAGTGGCGCTCATGATTATCTACGTGGACGATGTCATGATGTTGGGACCTAAGGAGGTGATCACGGAGATCTACCGGTGGATTACGGTGGGCGACGAAGACGATAAGGGATGGACATGTTCCCCTTTGGAGTGGTTGTCAAGGGAGCCGGCAAGATACTTGGGAATGGATGTGAGAAGAAAGGAAAGCAGAGGTACAACGGTGTTTCACATCTCGCAAGGAAGCTACATCATGGAGCTCCTCAAGGGATATCCACAAGAGGCACAGCGACCGTCTCAAGATCCAGCCACAAAGGAGTCGACGCCAGCAGAAGAGCTCGATGAGGAGGAGGCGGCTATCATGGCAATTGACCCGGAGCTGGTGAAGCAAGCTCAGAGAATGGCTGGCGAGCTGCTATGGCTCGTGACTCGCACGAGGCCTGATGTGGGCTTTGCCACAGCGCATGTGTGCTCGAATGCTGCAAGAGATCCCGTGGCAGCCATCCGTTTGGCCAAGGTCACGATGCGGTACCTGGCAGCTACGCCAACAATGGGCCTATGCTATGATGGCAATGGCCTACCGGTGGAGGCTTATTCAGATGCAAGCTTCGCACCTCAAGGAGATCGAAGTTTCGGTTGCGTCACTACAGCTACGTATGGTGGATTCGCGGCATGGAGAATGACGAAGCAGTCTACAGTGGCACTGTCAGCGGCGGAAGCGGAGCTTGTCGAGTTGATCAACGCCAGTCAACAGGCAGCGGGACTGCAGGCGTGGGTTCATGAAGTGTCACAAGAGGACAGAAATGAGCCTCTAGCTCTTCGTGTGGACAACACGGCAGCGTGTGGTCTGGCTACTACCTCGCCCGGGTCGTGGAAAACAAGACACTTGAAGGTGAAGGCTCGTCACTTGAGAATGGAGACGAGCGAAGGACGCATCAAGGTGATCCACACTCCTGGGGACGTCCAAGTGGCAGACATGGGAACCAAACCAGTTCCTGCAGCACGGTTGATCGAGCTACGGCGTTTGTGGGGGATGTGCACCGCGGAGGAGTTCAACGATGAGGAGCAGCAAGTGATCATCTCAAGCCTCAAGGGCCCGGGCTCCTTTGGCGTGGGGGGGTGTTTGTATGGGTGATGATCGTGTCAAGGATGCCTATTGGAGAGTCTGCAGAGCCTTACAGCAAGAAGCCCATAGACTACGACGGGAGCATTGAGTTCTATTTCCTCATGACGATTGGAGGCATTGCTCTGTTGGGAGTTTGGGAACTTCTGAAATGGATGGCTCATAGATGCTTCGGAGAGGACGAGAGTACAGTCAACAAGGCCAAGAGGCTCTTGAAGATCAGAAACCAAGCCTCGAGAGCTCTTCAAGAAGAGCTGGCATCTATGACAAGCTCAAGCTCTTCGGATCCTATGTTTGTCGAGCCGGAGAAGAAGACGGTCACGACACCGAGGATGTCATCCATCGCAGGGGAAACTACTCCTATGACTACAAGGACACCAATGACAACAACAGCGCAATCTTCGGGCGGGCAAACGAGGACAAATATGAGGACCGATGACGATCCAGACCTGCGAGAAGCCCTGACGACCGCCAGAGATAACAGCTATGTGAGACTACGAACAGCCCTGGTGATGTCAGAGCACGGTGACAAGGTGCACCTGGTCGAAGGATGTCATGGACTACGTCATGCAAACAAGAGCAGATTGGAGAAGCTACAGGTCTGCTACTATTGCGATGGCAGCTTCCCTTTGTCCTACCGCCCCATTGGCGGTCAGATACCAGAAGCCGTGAGAGGATAGAAGCGCATCAGGTGAACATTTGGATCTGTGCCAGCTCCAAACGAGGAGGAGTGTTGATGCGCAGAAGCCCTTTTTGGGCATGCTTGTATAGAAGCTTAAGATTTCGAATGCTTCTGTGGCTCAAAAGGGTGGCTACGGAAGGACCCTTGTGCCAAGCATGACATGTTGCACATGTACATTCGGTGCAGAAGCTCATGCTACAGTGCTGGTGTGTGTAGAAGGATTTGAATTCGCTCAACGCGTTGTCAGCCATGGAAGCCGACAGTACAGAGCCAAACTACGATTCTGCCTTGCCAGCCCAAGCTCCCGTGCCTCTACACCAAGACAAACCCTAAACCACTCCTGCACCCTAAACCCCTAAGCCCCGAGACCCTAAATCCTCATACCCCTCAACCCCACACCCGGTTAAGCATGCGCCAGTCTCTCAGTCCGCCTGTCGAGCGAGGTCAGCTTCGTTGATCATTCGGAGGGCCTTCGCTGGCACGGGCTCGAGAAGGGTGGGATGTTTAGGAAGGATGCTACGAGATAACATTTTGGGTTTTGGGGGTCACGAAGCCCCCTAAACCACACATGCCGAAGTCCTGCAAATCCCAAGCTCAAAGCCCCGCAAATCCTGAACTGCCAGAAGCCCTACACTTTAAATCCTGCACCGTCTACATGCACCACCCTAAATCTAAACCCTTGACCCAAAGCACTTTTTTCGCTTTTGTAGCAAACCTCACAATAATCCCTATAAGTCGGAAAAGCTAAACCCTGAACCTTAAACCCTATATAAGCCCCCAAACTATGAATTCAAGTCCTTATAGTATCCTTCGAAGGCCGCCTGAGACCCTAAAACCTAAACCCTAAGTCCTCAACCTCTAAGCTGGAAAACCCTTCACCCCCACATAAACGCAAAGCCCCAAATCTTACAACCTGAGCCCCTAACCCTAAACCCTCAGCCCTAAACGCCAAATAAACTCCGCACCCAAAGCCCTCTAAGCCCTATAAACTCTAAACGGTATAACTCCCAAATCCTAAAGCCCAGGAGAAAGAAGGGGCCTGCATCCTCCTCCCAGACCTTCCAAACTCCTTTAACTAAGGAGTATACCTTAAATCATATTCGGGATCCTGCTATATTTTAGTTGAGGTATACACTCCTTCATTAAGGGCTTCTGGGAAACCCGGGAGCCGCAAAACCAAAACCCCAAACCCTAAACCCAAAACCACAACCCTAAACCCTAAACCCTAAACCCTAAACCCTAAACCTCAAGCCTCAAACCCAAAACCCAAAACCCCAAACCCTAAACCCTGAACCTCAAACCCTAAATCCTAAACCCTAAAACTTGCGTACCGGCCTGCGAGCGTTCCTTCTCCCTGCGCTCCGACTCCTTGCGCTCCGCCTTTCCAGTCGACGGCTTCGGCTTCGCTTTCCTTTCCCTAACCCTAAGGGTCCAAAGGACCCAATAATAAGGTACTTTGGTTGCGGATAGTAGTTATGTAGGTTAGTATTTGGGAGAGTATATGATTATTAGGTACTTGGACCCTTAGGGTCCATTTTTAGGTCCCCAGTACAGTACGGCACCCTTATAAAAAAGGACCCCAAACGGGACCCCAATTTAGAGAACTACCCAGCTGAGATCTGGAACCTAAGCCCTAAGGCTCCATGAACCTTTGAGGGTTCCTGTGAGCGTTCCATTAAGGGCTCCTATAGGGGCTACTATAAGGGCTCTATAAAGGTTTAGGGTGTACGAGCCGTAGAATACCTTTTATGGGAACAAGTTTACTTGGCGTACTTCTGAACCCCTCCTAAAAGTTAAACTTTTAGCCTAGATATTATAGTTCATATAGAAACCCAAAAAGTTAAAGTCTAAAGAGCCAACCAGAAGAACGCTAAGTTTAAAGACTTATAAGTGAGGCCTCAGAGTGTATATACTATATAGGTACGTGGAGCCCACAAATCCTATTACAACCCATAACTTACAACCCATAACTTATAGTCACCTGCAAAAAGAACCCTTCAACAGAACGTTACAAGGAACGCTTCTAGGAACCCAAAAATTCAAGAAGCTCTTGAACCCTAAACCCTACACCCTACACTAAAAGCCCTAAGCCCTAAACCCTATTAGGAACCCTTAACCCTATATGCCCTAAACCTCACACCCCATGAGGAATCCTCAACGGAACAAGAGCCCTAATGTAGGAGCCTCAATAATTAGAATAAGGTCTTGGGGGGGGCTCCTTATTATAACTATAGTATAATGGGCCCCGAAACCGTATTCTAATTATTAAGGCCTCTATACTAAGGTTTCCCTTTGGTTTTTGAGGGGTTCGGATCTCGGATCTTGGGGTTTCGGTGCTGTTGTGGTTGGGGTTCGGGTCTTGGGTTGCGGTTTAGGGTTTAGGGTGTTGGACTTACATGCTAAATAATGCTACTAATCATATTAGTTACTATTACTATTCGTGTTACTAGTACTATTAATATTAATATTACTAGTCATTCAAGCTTCTATATCAGCCTGGGCGATGGAGTGAGGAGGATTCTCCGCTCCAGGGTCCTACACGACCCCCGAACAAATTCTGGAGCCCCAAGGAACAGATTTTAAATCATATTCAGAAGTCAGATTTAGCCTGAGGCATATGATATGAACTAAGGGGTCTTGGGCTCTCCGGGCAAGTCGGAACCCAAGAAGACCCAACAACTAACCTCTCTAACTGGGAACTTCCCATTGTCGCATCGATCTCCAAATGTTCACTCCTAGACTTTAATAAACCCTACACTCAAAAACCCTAAACACCACAAGCCCAAAACCCTAAACCCCCAACACCCCAACACCCTAAACCCTATAACCCTAAACCCTAGCCTTCTGCCGTTCCGCCATGGCGTTGCGGAGAATCTCCTGCCCTGGGCTGACAGCACAGCCCAAAGGCATTAGGGTTTGGGGTTTGGGGTTTAGGGTTTAGGGTTTAGGGTTTGGTGGAAACTTACCCAAACAATAATCGCTGTTCCAACTAGTTATAAAAACCCGACCTTCTACTAGATGGGCCCTGTACAGATTAGAATATAAACCATTCTTTAAGTGCGGGGGCTGGGTGTACTGCATACCAGGACTTGAACATGACCCATGTAGGGAATCCTATATCTAAACGCAAGCTGGCCCCGATGAAGGTCATCCATAGCGACCGCAGCTGAGCCTAAGGAACAAATGCTCACCGTTCAGATCCGTAGCCCTAAACCCTGAAACCTGAACCCTAAACCCTAAACCTTAAACCCTCAACCCTCAACCCTAAACCCTCAACCCTAAACCCTAAAACCTGAACCCTAAACTCTAAACACTAAACCTAAACCCTACACTCTCAACCCTAAGCTCTAAACCCTAAACCCTACACTCTATACCCTAAACCCCAAAAACTCAACCCTAAACCCTAAACTCTATACTCTAAACCCCAAAAACTAAACCCTAAACTCTCAACCCTAAACCAAAAGCCCTAAACTCTAAACCCTAAACCCTCAACCCTAATAGCAAGGGCTATGTACCGGCTCGAGGGTTTCCGGTTCCCAGGAGTTGACAGGATGCATCCCCTGAGTTCAGCTCTAAGGGATGGAGAAGTTGAGGTTTAGGGTTTAGGGTTTAGGGTTTAGGGTTTAGGGTTCAGGGTTTAGGGTTTAGGGTTTAGGGTTTAGGTTCAGGGTCATATTTTAGAGATGTTTAATGTAGGGGCTTTAGTAATTAGATCAGGGTTTTGGGCCCCTATGTAGTAGATTTAGAATAAGGAACCTAACAGTAATATAAGTAGTTGTTGAGGCTTCCTATTTTAGCGTTTGGGGCTTCGGGGGTTTAGGGTTTAAGGTCTATGTTTGGGGTGTTCGAAGTTGTGGTTCGAGATGAAAGTTTACGCTTCGGATTTTTCGGTTCAACCATCTACTGCTGACGATTTCTATAACCAGGCCCCTGTAAAGGAATTGAACATTATATTGATATATATATATAGATAGATAGATAGATAGATAGATAGATAGATAGATAGATAGATAGATATAGATATGTATGTATGTATGTATGTATGTATGTATGTATGTATGTATGTATGTAGGCATGAGTGCATGCACGCATGTGGAGATGAAAAATGTAGATAGACAATGGAGACCACTTACGACAGCCTACTTAAGTTGAACCGACTGAAATCAGCGTGCCCAGGGCTCCCCCAACAAAGGATGGCAGTTCAATCCGCTTGAAAACCCTGGGCTGCAAGCATCCAGAACTAGGCGTCCACATGGTCGATCCGATAAGTGAATCCTCAAGCACACACCAAACCCTGAAACACTTTCAATTTCATCCCTAACTCAGAACGAACCTCCGAACACCACACAGGCCGCAACGCAAGAGAACGCTGTAAATCTTGTGGGAATACTATGATCCATTCCCTCACAGGTTCACTAGAGAGGTTCCGTGCGGAGGAGAGTCTAATCACCGTGCTAGTACGTGATGTTTCTCATGTGGCCCCTAGTTGCTCCTCATGATCTTAGCAGGAACCCTGATCCGCTCCCAAATCGTAACCTACAAGCCACTACCCGGAACCTAATTATCTAATTATTGGGTCCGCTGGATGCTCAAACCCGAAATCCTAAACAGAGGTAGAACCTTAACATAGGGGCCTCAACAATTAGAACAGGGTTTGGGATGGTTTGGGTATATTACACTATAGTTATAACAAGGACCCCCCCTCAAAAAAAAAAACAGCATAGGTAATTATTAAGGCCCACTTATTACGTCCGGGAAGCCCCCTACCAATCTCTCCCACCGGCCTTCGCGGAACTCCGCCTGCAGGCGGGTGCACTCTGGGTAAATGCGAAACTTATAAGGCTCTGAGGACTCATATTTTCAGGCTTCTGGGCCCAACGACCATACGATATAATGTAGTGGCCTCAATACCCAAAAGGCCGGAAAATGTATCGGCCTTTTGCCGCGCTTCCTGCCGTCGCCGCTCCTCCTCCATAGCCTGCCGGCGCTCCTGCAGCA